GCCCCGGCCCCCAGCCCCCGCCCGCTCCCTTACCGCCTCGTCACTCTGCGAGGCCCTAGCGCCGCCAGATACGCAGCTAGGCGGCTGCCCTCCTCCAAGTCCAAGTCTAGAAGCCAACTTGAACAGCCACCCACTCCCATTCTCCCTGCACCAAGACTATGTTTCCATCTCTACTCTTTCTACTGGTTAGGGCCCTTTCTCTCCACAACCCAGCTCAGATCTCTAAGCCAACCATCACTTTTCACAAAACCCTCTCATCAGCCTACTCCCTTGTTGCTAGGACTTTTGTTGAAGTTCAGGCTTGACCTGGGATGTCTGGTCCTCCATGTTAAGGGTTGAGCTTTGCTCAGGATCTAAGGTTTTTCTTGGCCCCTGATACAATGGGCCCATCTAAAGTTGACTTTCACAGTACTATTCCCACCCCCAAATTTCGATTGAGGCCACAGCAGGAGGACACAAGCCTGAGACAAGGAGGCCATAGACCTTACCCTGTGAGCAGTGACCTTGCCCAGCGGGAGGTGCATGTCATTAGACCAAGGAGAGGTCAAAGGCTAAGGCAGACACTGCCAGAGTTAGCCTCCTGTTAACGTGCACGCACGTTTGTGGTGTGTGTGTGTGTGTGTGTGTGTGTGTGTGTGTGTGTGTGTATTTGAGTGGTGGGAAACACTAAATGAAAAGAGGGTAAGTAAGAGAAGGCTCAGGGATCTATAACAGGGTGTGAGCAGAGCCCTGTGCCACAAGTCAGGACATCCCAGTGTAGGTTTCCAGGCCCAGCGATGCGATTGATGCCTTTTATTAGCTGTTTGACTTTGGACACAGCACGTGACACCTAAGGATGCATAATGTATTGGGTCCTGCTTGTCCCGTTGTATATGAATACACACTGTGGCATGAGAAGGAAGAAGACAATCCAGTCGTGGGTAGGATCTGACGTTGACAACTGGGGAGGAGAATGAAAGAGCCTGTGGACACCACATCAAAAAGCAACGGTAACATCAATCAATCAACAGCTGGTGACAGACGTACTGTGACGCCAGCTGTCGTCAGAGGACCTGGTGCCACCTTCCCAGTTTCCCCACAAAAGATGACCTTTTTGTCTCTTAACAGAGCCCCCACTGTTAGGTAGCAGGCCAGCTTCAGGGCTGGGGCAGAACTGCTCCCCACCAGGGTAGTGACCCCACTTTGGACCTGCTGGGGTGCCCAGTGCCTTTTCTGCCACTGTGGTACGTGAGCTAAGTCTCCTATCTCCATTGCTGGGAAGCAGCTTTCTCCTTGGCCTGATGGCAGCAGACACTAGTTTTCTTTCCCAGCATTCCCTCACTAGATTCCCTGGTCAACCCCTGTGGCAGGCTCTGTTTCCTTAAACTTCCAAAGATAAATAAATAGTGATTGCAAATGGAGGAAATGAGAAGGGGAATGGACATCCCAGCAGGAGCCTCAGGCAGGCCTAATGGAGACTGCATTCTTGAGGAAACTGGCCAGAGATGGACAGAGACCAGGCACGTAGACCAAGCTGCCTGTCTAACCCACGCCAGTCAGAGAAACACGGAGAAGAGCCTCTGACCACGTCACAGCTTGTCAGTGACTTCTCTTTGCTAAAAGACAAAGTCTCAGGAGGAAGCCTCTTGTCCCATGAACCCTCCAAGACTCACAAATTACAGATGACATTGGCAGGATAAGGAGGGGAGGTACACCTCGGTAGACATGAGGTGCCTCGTGGGGACATTTATACAGCACTCCCAATCATTTTGACCTCTGCACAACGTGCAGAGTGTGGAGTACACCCAAGTCTTGAAGAGCAGGGATGGGCACTTCCTTTTGAAATTCTTTCTAAATGCCCACTCAATGCTTTCCCACACAGGTTGCACTCTCCTGCCTGTACTCAGGTACAGGTATGGTGTGTGTGTGTGTGTGTGTGTGTGTGTGTGTGTGTGTGTGTGTGTTAGAGGGCTGCTACCTGATACTCACCTGTAGTCCCACTACTTGGGAGGCTGAGGCATGATATTCACTTGAACCCAGGAGTTGATGGCCAACATGATGGGACTGTGTCTTAAAAGGAAAACAACACAACACAACCAGGGGCTCATGCATCCGAGGCTGGCCTGTAACTCACTACATAGCCAAGGACGATTTTGAACTCCTGGTCTTCCTAGCAATGTCTCCCAGGTGCTAGGATCACAGAAGGATGCTTCCTTGCCCAGTTATGCAGTTCTAGGGATAGACAGTACCCAGAGCTTTGTGCATATGAGGCAAGCAAGCACTGTATCAACTGAGTCATACACACCCTCAAAAGTATTGTTTTGAGGCTTTTAAAAAATTATTTAACTTCATTTTATGTGCATTGGTATGAAGGTGTCAGATCCCCTGGAACTGGATATACACATAGTTGTAAGTCACCATATGGATGCTGGTACTTGAACCCAGGTTCTCTGGAAAAACAGCCACTGCTATTAATCGCTGAGCCATCTTTCTTGAGAGAGAAGGGAAACTCAAATTTTATTCCCATTCTCAGGCAATCTAGTTAAGGAGCTTGACCTATTAAATATATGTTATTGACAGGAAGATCGAGACTTAGCCTTGACTGTCCTTAGCTACAAATCAAGTTTGAGACCAGCCTGGGATACATGAACTCCGGTCTCAAGGAATGGAAATAAAATAAATAAATAAAAATTACACATATATAATTATATATAATAAAATTAAATATATATATTTGGTATATATCTATGTGTATGTATGTATGTATGCATGTATGTATGTTTTCAGTGTATGTAATTTTATATATATATATATA